GGAAAACTCATTCCTGGCAAATATTCAATACCTTTACTAACTCTAATGTAGTTTCTCAACCTTGACACTACTGACATTTGGGGCTGGGCAATTCTCTGCTGTGAGGGGAGCTGTCCAGTGCACTGTGGGATGCTGAGCCCACCCCTGCCCTCCACTCACTAGGTGCCAGTAGTACCACTTTCCAGTTGTGACAACCAAAACGTCTCCAGGCATTGCTACATGTCTCCCCAAGGGCAAAACTGCCTGGTTTAAGAACCACTGCTCTAAAGGGAAGAGTATCAGTAAAACTATTAGATGGAACATCTGATACATAGTAGCTTAATTAAAATGCACTTTTTTAACTGGGTTTATCGATTCACATAGGCTTATCCTAAAACTACTTCTCTGTACTAACAAGTCAGTACCATGACTGTGATGCATCTCCCCAGAGATGGGCCCCAGGGGTCCTCCCTACTGATGTTGGAATCTTAGAAGGGGGTGAAGAAGATAACAGGATGGTATGGACATGGCAGAAAAGAGCCACTGGAAACTACTAGTTGGTTTTTCAATGAGCAAATCCTTTTTTGCATGCCTGTGATATGCAAGAAACTGTAGGGAATGTACAAGTACAGTCCACAGTCTTTGTTTTAAAGGATGTTACAGTCTCATGACAAATTATTTCTAGTGTAGTTTTCATCTTTTGTTTTCTAATAAGCATCCACCTGTTATTTATATTTCCACAGCATTATAAATAATGCTATGCAGTCATAAAATGGAACCAGAAGACATACAGCTCATTTTTCTATAATACTTCACTTGCATCATTTTTGGAAGTTACAGCTGTATTATTAGTTGCCTAACGACAAGATTCCTGGCTTCCTCAGCCAGTACACTCTCCTAGATTTCTTCCTTATAATGGGTGATAAGAATACTGAAATTGTTACAAAAACTTTATAAACTTATAAAATATAATAAAATGAACATGTAATGGTGAAAAAATACTTCCCCATAATGGATTAGTAATATTTCTGTTCTTATTTTTTAGTATAAGAGATGAATGAGTAAAATCCTCAAATAAAATGAAAGACTTTCATTACATGGCATGTAATGAAAAGAACTGGCATAGAACCCACTGCACTGTCATCCCCAAGGATTTTTACTTCTTTAAAACTATAAAATGCTCAAGAGATAAAACTCCTCCTGACTCAACTATTAATGAGATATTCCTCTTCCTGCTACACTTTGTCAACCCTCCAAATGCACCTCTAAATATTTTCCTCTTATGTATATGCCTTTATTAATATTAAATAGTTGTTTGCAGTAAACATATATTTAGCAACAAGTTAAGTGCCAAAATAAGAGGACAACAGCAGAAACTAGTAAAGATATTACAAAGACATAAAAGCTCCTATCATAAATATCAGCATAGTTTGTTTTGATTTTAGGAGTGAGCTTAAAATAATCAACTCGCCTCTCCTTTTTCAAACCTACATTAATTATGCACATGTTAATTTACAGGATTTTGTTATTTGCTGAAAAGTAAATGTACTCTAAAATTCTAGAAGCCACCATTTTTAAAGAGTGATTTATGTGTTAAACACATTTATAGGCAGTAAATCACTTTCTTGAGATGGAGGCAAACAGTAGGATCTCAATTTTTTTTTTGAGACAGTCTCACTTTGTCACCCTCAGTAGAGTGCCGTGGCGTCACAGCTCACAGTAACCTCCAACTCTTGGGCTTAAGTGATCCTCTTACCTCAGCCTCCAGAGTATATGGGACTACAGGTGCCCACTACAACACCCGGCTATTTTTTGTTGCAGTTTGGCTGAGGCTGGGTTCGAACCCATCACTCTCAGTATATGGGGCCAGTGCCTTACCCACTGAGCCAAAGGTGCCGCCTTCAATTCTTATTAAAGGATCCAAATACTTACTAGAAGTGAGTCCAAACAGGTCACTTAATTCCTTCAGGTCTTATCTATAAAATGGGTATAAATTCCAGCCCTTCCTTACCTTACACACTTATCCTGAGGTTCACGTAAGAAAATGTAGCTGTCAGGAGAAAAGCACTCCTACAAATGCTGCAGAACTGCTGCCCGAATATTCAAGTTATAATATTCTTTCAATTGAACCACTCGGCTTCTGTACTGCTGTTCATGACTTACAGAAAGCTGTAAGTACTGCATCCCCTGCTGTTGAAATGTGAGTACATTAAAAAAAAAAAAAAATACTATACTGGACATACATCTTTATAATGAAGGTTAAAATACTAAACTAAAAATTTGAAAATCTTCAAAGAAGTAGCTACGTTGTGCCACATCGAAGTGACTTCTACTGATCCTCCAAAATGAAGGAAAATAAAATTAGTCCTTATCAGAATTTCTTGGTCTTGAAATTTTACCTTCTGCTTCTCTCGTTTTGATCTCTACACACTTCCTAGTCCTTAAACCCTCGGTACCTTGGGCTTCTGGACCTACTCTCTTGGACCTCCTCTCGGATCCTGCCCTAGGCAAGAGAGAAAGCTGATTAATGAGAAAAATGTAAGGGAATGTGAAACAGATGTCAGAAAGGGTTACATTACCCAGCTTTTAACCTTTAAGCCACTGGCTTTCAAGTCTGTAATGAAGTTTTGGCACCCTTTAAAGGAATGTCATGCAGCACAAGGCAGAGATTCCCCTTCTGTTCTTTTTCTTTGGTGGGGAGAGGGGTAGTGGTAGTTAGATGTGGGGAGTGTGATGGGTAGGAAATGTCTTAAGTGTTCATTAAGGTAAAAAGGTTTCTTACCTTAAGGTAAATGTTCCGACAGAGTATTTGTCAGGTAGAGAACATATCCCATCCATTTTTGTATTTCTAATCCCCAGAATAATGCCAATTCATAACCTGCAGGAGGTGTTTAACAGATGCTTGCTGAATTACATCACTTTGATGTGGAATTCTCAGACTGCAAGGGTCCGCCCACAACCTGAGCTCCGTGAGACCTTAGTACAGTCTCTCTGCAAACCATCTCTGGCCAGGGGTTAGTCACATGTTCCACCTCTCTGGCCTTTGAGGGTCTCAAATGGCACGTGTTTTCTTGGATTTAGGGCCACACTTTGATTAGCGTGTGGTACTTCACGTTGTTGTCCTGGAATACATTGCTACTATTTCCATTATTATTCCTTACTGCTGGGCAACTGAGAAAAGTTACAAAAGATACAACAGTCCATCTTAACCAAGAATTCCTTCCCACCAAGATTTGTAAAACTTTCTGCCACATAGTTTTAGAGATCTTTTTTGACTTTAACATCTAGAAATGCAGAATTTTAGTTTCAAAAAGGATTTTAGAAGTTTCTAAGAAGTCAGTAATTTTATCAATTCAATAAACCGCTTTACAGTTAATCTTTTATTTTTTATTGCACATATCAATATTTCACAGAAAAACCCCTAATGTTAAACTGTAATTACTTACATATATATCATCTGATTTTTCAATGTAGAGCTAAGTTTTTACACAAATATAATCAGTAAACATAATTTATGTTCTAATTAACATCTTTTAGTTACTTAACCATTTTTTACAATTTAACATATATATCAATATTATTTAATGGCTATATCACAGTCTACAATAGCAATACACCAAAATTCACTTATCCATTCCCCAATTATTTGGCTTTTTTTTTTTTAAGCTCACATGAATGGAATTGCTAGAAACATCTGTGCACAAAATCAGTTTTAAATGTCCTCCTAAACATATGCTTCTTAAAGCGAGTTAGTATGTCAAAAGATTAGGTTTTTATAATAATCTAAATAGTTTTTAAAAGAGCACTAATGTAGGGGTGGCGCCTGTGGCTCAAAGGAGTAGGGCATCGGCCCCATATGCCAGAGGTGGCTGGTTCAAACCCAGCCCCGGCCAAAAACTGCAAAAAAAAAAAAACCACACTAATGTATAATGCTATGAGGATGAGGACACAGACAATTTTAAAAACTTTGTTAATAGCAAGAAGTCCAAATGCTTCAATTTACATTTTTAAAATTAGGAAATTTGAATGTGATTCTAAGAATTGATTTCTATTTGTATGGTTTCATTTATACATGATCCTTTCATGATAAATTTGTCTAGGAAAAAGTAGACAGAAGTATGCACATGCATCTTCTTTTTAAAAAGTATTAAGCACTTTATTCACATGTAATACAAATATAGCTTTTTAAAAATTCCATCTTGTCTTTTTCCTATTTAGTACACATTTCCTTTTTCTTAGATCTACCTTGCCAAATGCCATGAAGTTCCTACCACTACTGGCATCATTATTTTTAATTTAACATTTTAATTCCTCTGGAATAAACTGCGCTCTCACAGTAAAGAGGTTTTCAGAGGACTCCCCATTTACTACTTTTTACTTCTTTTCCTTTTGAACAGGGTATCTAGAGGAAGTTTATTTTTAAAATCCTTCTTCTATTCAGGTCTCTTTCTTAGTTTATCCCAATACAGCTGTGTAACTTTGTAATACCGCAATACTTTATAAAGCAGTTTGCCAGTGTCAGGATCTAGAAAAGAGATTTTTTTTTTTCAACTGTATAACCTACAACTTCTTGAATTAGTCTTTTATTGTTAGCATTTATACAACACTATAGGGTAAAGCCATAAATCCATGTTAACAGAAAATAATGTTTGTGCTGTTCTATCTTCCTCATTCTGTGAATGTGCGTTTTTTAGCAATGACAAGTTTCTTTAACATATGTAAATTAAAATGCTGCTAACATTGTTTAGTTGCACTTGAGAAATGTTCCCTATGTTTTGCCCATACAATGTTAGTTCTTTAAGTAACTACTTATCCAACTATGAAACGTCTATGAAATCATTACCAGAGATAATTAAAATCAAAAATGAATGATGAATTTTTAAAAAGTTATCTTGGATTTTTACTTTCATTTTCTTGATGTTTGTTTAATGGTTATTCTGTTGAATGCCAGCCTTATAATCTTGAATGACAGTAGATAATCATTTTCATTTGTTACTGTATTGTTTGCCAATATTTTATTTTGCATTTTGCTTTGTTGAGGACACCTTTTAAAAAATGTTTTGATTTTTAGTACTGAGGCCATAGTTGCCTCAAAATGCAATTAGAAGCATATTACATTTCATGATACATAAATACTACTTAGTCTTTAAACACTTGAAATAGTGCACCAAGAAGTCTATTAGGGTCAAATTCCAACTTGTAAAAAAAAAATTATACAAGATTGCCCTAGCCCCTAAAGTTTTTCACTGGTTATAACTTTCACTGCTTTTCACTGGTTATAACTTCTCATTTCCCACTTATTTCATATTTAAGAATGTAATATTTTCATTCTACTAGCTTTTAATCCAGGCTTATTTTGGACTAGTCTCAAACTTTTTTTTTCAATACTTTTTTTCTTTTTCCATTATATTCAGCAAAACCACTTTTGTTTCTTTCTTTAATCACTTACGAATCACTGGTGATAAGGGAAAACGTCAGTAGATCTGGATTATCTTCCCCTGTGTTTTATTTTTCTTAAGTTTTTTTAAGACCCATTTTACAGGTCTACTTTAGGATCCTCCCACTTTACTATATTTTTTAAAAAGTCAGTATTAATACCAATACATAACTTTACTACTTTAAGCTGTCGATTACTTAAAGCTGTCTTGCCTTGTTCTCCTCATTTTCAGAAGAGCAACGAGTATACTGAGAACACAGTTTGGCATCAAAAAATTGTATTTTTTAATAACTCAATCTTCAAATCAAAAGACATTATTGAAAAGCATTACTTTGTTAAATTGTGCTTCAATGTGATCCATGCTCTAAAATAATTTATTTTGATTAATTTTAATCTTCACATTTCTCCAATTCAATACCAATACCAGTGTCTGCTTTTCTTCCCCAGCAATGCCAGACTGATTTCTATGGGCACCTTTCCCTTCTCCCAGTCCCTACTCTACTCTTCACAGTGAACCTCAGGTGAAAAATCAAGAGTTCTAGAATCACAGAAGCCTAGGTTCCAACATTGGCTCTCTCAACACACCAGACTCTGAGCAAATCATTAACACTTCTCTATTCCCTCTTTGAGGTGCACGCTAAACTATCTGCCTCAGAAGACCACTGAGAAATTGCACGATATGAAGGGCACATTATAAATGCCATGCTCCAGGGCAAATGCTGTCATAAAGGGCTTCATCACTTTCTGAAAATAGAAACAAGGCCAAAGGAAGTTCACCACTTCTCATAGCTCCCCAGATTTTCACCATTAAAGTACAACCAGTTTCACAACTTCTGGTGGTTCTGGGAGAAAGGTTTCTATCCTCTAAATATCAACCAAGAGGCAGAAGTGATAAGGTTGTTACCTGTATTTCTGCGGTGGGACACAACCAAAGGGTCATGTAAATTCTCTTTTGATTCATGTTTATCAGTTGTAGTTTAATGTCACTAACTAAAGTAGGAGAGCCAAACAAGTATGTTTCACCCTGAGAGACCCGGGTGCCCGGGTAATCTATTTACAGAGGGTTTTCAAACCCTCTGTAATCTGAGATTTAAAAAACCTCACTCAGTTTCTCCTTAGGAAGACAGTCATTCTGAAGTATCTTTCCCTGGGACACTTTATTTTTCCTTTGGCCTGAGTTACTCCTAGAAGTTCTTTCCTTTTAGGAGCCAGAGCAGGGCTCTGCAGAGATTTTCTGAAGTATTAATACAGATCTAATCTTATCCCTTGGATTTTCTTTGGGGAACAAAAATATGGACTACTTCATGAATTTGCGTGTCATCCTTGCGCAAGGGCCATACTAATCTTCTCTGTATCATTCCAATTTTAGTACACGTGCTGTCAAAGCAAGCACCCCTAAGTGAGATTTTTAATGACTAACTGAACTCCAACTCTTTTTGTAAAGTGCAAGACTGTGGTGGCGTCACTGCCTCTTCAGTTATAGGGGTCAAGTAGGTAAATTAAACTGCAAAATGTGTTAGAAACATCAGACTTTCACAAAGAATAAGGGATCATGCAAAGTTAACCTCTTAACAAGCTTTTAATCTATAAATGTACAGTACCATATTGGCACTTGGACTATTTGCTATTCCTACCACCACGTCTACATGTTAATATTTTATATAAAAGATCAAGAGTTTATGTGTGTTTCACTCCTCAGAGGTGGTAGCAACTATAATAGAGGCAAAAGTAATTAATATTCCTTAGATATTATTAATTGCTCTGGAGACAACAAAATCAGAAGATCATTAGCAGATACAATATTATCTTTCTTTAAGCAAAGGTGCTAATATAGAACTCTCACACATATATGATGTCTAATACTAAAATAAAGCTAATTCCGTTTTAAGATTCTGGATCATGGAGCCCATTTTGAAACAAAGTGTCCAATAACCAACACATCAGTCACTGATAGGTTAGCAAAGACATCTAACACTGGATGTCTCAAAAGAGAGCTAAAGACAGCATCTGCACAGAATTCATCGTACAACCACTTCTATTTGCTTATGTGGGAAATTGTCCTTTAAATGAGAAAATCCAGATGCCAGGATGAAGGCCCAAAGTAGCAAGTGGTTCCAGTTTGTTCTTTTCTAATTTTGAAGGTGCTTCTCTGAGCTTTCCAGGTTTTCGCTTTCCTCAGAGGATTCTGCTTTGGCCTTTACTACATTACTGGTCCCAGGAGTATCTGACTGCTTATCATCACCATCGAAGATAATGTCCTCTGGGTTTGGAGGTGGGGGGCAGAATTCCTCACTTGGAAAGAGCTCGTGGAAAAGTGTTTCAGCTTGCTTAACTGCATGCTCATTTCCCAGTCCACCATCAGGCCCAGAGCAGACATAAACATTGGAAGGTAACCCATTATATGAGCTTCTGCTGATTCCTGAGGAATCTCTCATATTGAAATAAAGAGCCCATAAAACCCTCGGCTTTGTAAGTTCTTCCTTGTCTATTTCTGTTTCAGCATATGGGGTGAATAATGTCTTCACCACCGATTCTAAGTCTTCTCTTGCTGTTTTAGAAGATGAACATGTCAGATGTACCAGATAGGTGTCTTTCATGCACGTCATGGTTGAAGAACATAATTCTGCGACCCGAACAGCACAGTTTCCTGGTTCTGCTGGAGGCACTATCAAAATGGAAATCTGCTGATCCGAATCTGCCTTTAGCACAGACTGATCTGTAATGAGCACTGCCCTAGAGATCTGCTTATACTGCACATCAGAGCACGTGTCCTCAGAAAGGTAGCTATCCTCTACAATAAAATATTTGGCATTTATTCTTTGACCAAAGTGATCTATAATTGCTTTGCATCTTCCTGATTCTTTGTCAACTACAAAGCACTGTACTTTATGGCGAAGACAATAAATTCCACCAAAAACTGCACACATCCTGCAGAAACACTGGGGAATTTCTCCTTGACCATACAAGGGAAATAAAAAGGGAGTGTTACCAAATCGTCCAAGACACTGAAGGAAGTTTTTAGTTGCTTTAAGGCCATCTATTGTAGTGCAAGATGATTCTGATGTCATTGCAATTGAGTGCAATATAAAATGTTGGAGGTTGGGAGTTAATTTTTTAGTCTTTAAGTACTCTGAAAACAGACATTGCTCAAAAGCTTGGTACTCATCAGGATGGTGTTCATAGTCTAAACAAAATGTGAGAAATTTCATTAGCATCCTCTTTTCAACCATGGTGAGTTCTTTGCTATTAAAGACATCTGCTCGGGAACAAGGCACCTGTTCTACCTTTCCTTCTCGAAATGCAAGAATCCTAGTGACATTTTTAAATTCTGCATAACGACTAACATTTGACTTGATCAAAAGATCAATTAGCAATCCTTGAGAATACAGCAGCTTTGATACCAAATCAATATTAAACCTCCTGCCTTCTTTAACTATTTGAGAGTAAGTAATTCTATTTCTCTTTGGCTGATCAGTACTGTCTTCTACCGTAGGTTTGTTTTCCTCTTTATCCCCACCTGAAACAGTAGGTACACAAGTTTCAGCTCCACTGGACTTTTCTTCCTCTAGGGATTCCTCTTCACCAGTTACTTCTAGTGGAACTTCTGTATCACTTTTCTGAGGGTGTTCGGCAGACACTTCATGGCCAGTAATATATGGTGAGTGTTTTTCATCAGGCAAGCATGCAGAATCCAGAAATTCAGGACAGGTATTAGATGCCACTGAGGAAGGATTTTTCTGCAGAGCACCGATCTCTTCAACATTCTCCTCCATATTTTGACTGGCATAACAGAAAACTTCCACGTGTTGAATGGTTGCATCCTTCTTGCGAAGAGTGATGGCTTCTTCTGTTTCCTGGATGAGCTCTTGCCATGCAGCAGTACTTTCCTCTGCAACATCATTGTTTTGCTGATACTCCTTCAACCAGGATAGTAATCCTGAAAAGCTGAAACTAGCCCAGTTTCCTCCATAGTAACTTCTTGAATCAATATGCAGGACCCTCTGACCACTTCTTGAACACGCAGCTGCAAGGATAGATTCAGGCAAACCTGTCCCTATTATAACCACATCGAAGTCTGTGGGTAGACTGTCCGCCATCCTAGAAGTGTCTGGTGACAACTGCTGAGAAAGGAAATGTGTGTGACTCTAAGCTGAAGACCCAGCTGAGGTATGATTACAGTGTCATAAAATTTCTCCTTGTGATGTTCCAGTTCATCCCAGAAGCACTGATGTTGCAGGTCCTAGCTGCTTAACTGTTACCCTTTTTAAAGTTTTTTCTTATAAGTCAGTGGCATAAAAACATGAGAAAGTACATCTAATCACATCTGAGAATACTAAAATGGATGAGCGGTTTCATTTCTGCATTTCATCTTAGCAGTAATATCAAAATGCATCATGCATGCATTTGTGACTGGAACTCTTCTCTGAAAGAAGAAAATTCAAGAAAGAATACAACTGTAAATAATATAAAAGTAATTTCATGCAACAGCAATTACAATCCATTGGAGCCCAATTTGTTATTTGGATATAAACCTCTACTAAAGCAAATCATTAAATGCTTTCTCACATATTTTCTAATTTCTTGAAAATGAACAGAGATATAACTCCTGCAAAATCAGGCAACATAGTAATAAAGAATTAACATAACAATGTCTCACAAAAATAAAGAATTAACATAATACAATTCTCTAATTTTTGATTTTAAGAAAACATTTGAACAAAACTATACATAACTATGAGCTTAAACTAAAAGAAAGTTGTTATTCCATTATGTTTATAGAAATAGACTATTAGTATGTGCATACTGCCAAGATTAGAAATATTGCTGTGGCCAAGACAGTCTGTGGCTGATTCCACAATAGCCAAATAGAAGACCTTTCCAAGCCCCAACCACCCTTAGGATCTCATGGTGGCAACATTGAGACTATTTCTGCTGAGTTAACCAGATTATTATGAAAGTATTAATTCAGCAAAACAACTGGCATTTAAGAATACTTAGGTACATAAAAGAATAGGCCTAATAAGGAGAAAAATCTATAACAAATGTTATATAAATGTCCATATAACGTACTTTATCATATGTACAGTGTTTTATAAAAGTTAAAAAGGAAAATTCCTGGTTTCATGTCAAGATATTTTAACACAAAAACATCTACTTCTAACATTCGAATAGGGTGATGTTTGCATTTTGTCAGACTGTATCTGCAACCTTTATATCCTAAGAAAAAGGTCTAAATATCCTCTGCCAAGACCCATATGTTGTTTGCTATTCTTATTTTTGAAGGGGTAGTGAAGAAAAGCTCTCCTGCTAACTTTCAGCATAATGCTGTTTACATTCCATGTGCAGAACATCTATGTGATGACAGGTTTAGCCAAAGGCATAACAGCAAAGGGCTGAAGTGCATACTCACCTGGAGTCTATAAGCCAAAGCACTGAACAAACCTCACAGCTAAACTTTCTTCCATCATTGCACAGTAAAAGTGAGAGTTCTCTGAGTTCTGATTTTCACCACTGTTAAATCTACTGAAATCTAATCAGTACGAACTGGCTCTGTCTAGGCCAAGAGGACTATCTTGGATATTGGTAAAACAAGGCATTCAATTGCAACTTAGATTAAACTATGCAGGTCACTGATCTGACTTCCATTCATAATTGGAACTGCAGTACCAATAGTCCTGTCTGGTCAAAGCCTCTGCCTCAAGAATATCAGGGGTTGCACTCATTTTTAGCATTCCCTGAGAAGCCAGGAACTCAACACACAGTGAATCAGTTGCCTGGCCTACTCATGGATAAATATAAGTATGTCTAAATTCCTTATTCTGCTTTCTTCCGGCAGGGTGTGAAGGGCGAGACAGAACCTATGATGGTACTTGGAGAGGCATAACCATAGCAAATGCTTCTTCTTGGCTTAGAAGGGGATAGAGCTGGGGAGGAGGGGGAGAAGAACTGAGGACACAGGCCATAAATGCTATGAGTAGGCACATTCTAAACTACAGCTATCAAAGGGGGTCATCAGAATACAAAGTAAGTGGGATAATCTTAAAGAACATTAAGCTCAACTACTCAGTAATAGAGGTAAGAAAACTGATGGCTGGAAAGATTAAGCAACTAGGGAGAGCCCACAGGATGCATTAGTCACAACATCGAGAGCAGGACCCACTCCCATGGGGCCAGGCCAATGCTCTTTCTACTAGATAGGGAAGACTCTCCCCAAACCTCTGGAACAAGCAGCTACCTCCAGCTTTATTTTTATTTCCTCCCCCTTCATGTTCCAACGTTGGTTATCTGTTTGCTCATTTCTTAAGAGAACTGGGAAAGCAATGGAGGTACCCCCTGCTTTTTTGAGACAATTTCACTCAATCACTCTGGGTAGAGTGCCGTGGTGTCATTGTAGTTCACAGTAACCTCACTCTCTTAGGCTCAAAAGGTCCTCTTGCCTCAGCCTCCGTGTACCTGGGACTACAGGTGCCCACCAAGACACCTGGCTCTTTTTCCATTTTTAGTAGACAGGGTCTCATTCTTGCTCAGGCTGGTCTCCCAACTCCTGAGCTCAAGATGGACCTGCCTCAGCCTCCCAGAGTACTAGGACTTCAGGTTTGCACACCGGACCTCACCATCCTTTTCTTAATCCTTAACCCTAGCAATCTAGAAGCACAAACCCTGGAATTTGCTCCAGGCAAAGAAATGCTTCATCTTTGTGAATAACAAAACCTCCCTACTTGACTTGTTCTCAGTCTCTGTTAGCCCAGAATTTCCACCTCTAATTTAAAAAATAGGGATAAAGCCAAGATTGACAGCACTAACTAAATAGCCCTAAGATAAAATATTAAATGAATTTTCAAAGGCAATTCTGATTGGGATGGGAACCCAGAAAGGATGGTGAAGGAAGAGAAAAAAGAGGCAAGAGAACAGGAGACTCAAAAGGATGGGGTCAGCAGAGTGCAGAGGATGGATGCTAGTACTTATATAAAGAATCCAATATATTTCAAACTCCCAGGCACAGAAATAGAATTTTCCAGCACAGAAAAGGTATTTCATGAAAATAAGAACTTTGATGTCCATGAACAAACAAGTACCTGTTACCCATCCTAGGGAGCATTATTGACAATAATTTAGGACTGGGCTTGAATCAACTTTTTTAAAGCTTAGCCCTGCCTAAGACACTAGGTGTAATATTATAGCCATCTGTGTCACAACCTACGTACACTTACAGTCCCCTCCCCAAGTTTCAAATCTTTGTACAAATGAAATTTTCAGAGCAATGCTTACTGGGGGCTAGGAGGTGGTGAGAATATTCTAAAGCAATTATAATTATTCCTGCAGCAACCAGATAAATCATGATTTCTAAGGCATTTTCTTATTTTCTCCAAGACATCAAAAAGTGTATCATTACAAACATTATATTTGGGTCTGTTATAGCATAGGTGGTTGCTAAATTATAAAATATTTTGGGAAATGCTACAAAGATTTGTTCTCCAAAACCTACCAGAATAAAAAGAATAAAATACTAAAGGATCTCAGAATTGAAAAAAGGAACTTTAACACCTCAGAAATACACATTCCTATTTCAAATCTTTGTACAAATGACCAGAGCACACACACAAAAAATTCTTTCTCAAGCTTAGAATAAAAATTTACATCATCAATGATATACTGGGCTGTTAATCATCCTTCAAAATGTCAAGGCTCAGTGAGACTTAAATCTTCCACAATGATTATGAGTATCTAAGAAATAAATCGTCGATGAACATTCAAAATTTTATTTTAATGAAATCTACTGGCTGCACACTAATTACCTACAGTAATTGTTCACCTAACATGGGACTCTCCAAGCCATTTGTAATCTCGTCTGAGATTATGGTGTGATGGAACCTATCGAAGAAAAATACAGTAAAAATAGCTTATGGGGCACATATGAATTTGCATTCTGAGGAACTGAATGAAACTATCTCACTCTCTAGAAAACATTCAAAGGTTTACAACTGCTGATGAGAAAAAAAAAAAATCTCCACATTGCTAGTTTAGGTCTCCACCTATCATTTTAGGAGACAATGGTATATAAACCAAATCTCATTTCCCCCTGTAACTTTGACCAGCTAATCACTTTTTTCTTGGACTCTCTTGACTCTGCAGGCCCTCGTCTCTTTCCTCAAAGTCTAAGAGCCCTTGTGCCTTGTTCTGTTGAATTACATTAGGAGGTGGAAACAGAAATAGGAGAAGGAAGGAGATGAGCTTGCCGTGGCGGGAGAGTTACGTGGGGACTGGGGTCTAAAGGGGAGCTGGGAGTGAAGACGGGTGGGGTGTGGGATCAGCGTGGGGAGGAATCAAGGCGCTCAGGAACCGAGCCGGGCAGCGCGGGGCGGCGGAGAGGAAGAAGGCGGCACGCCATGCAGCTAGGGGTCGAGGAGCGAGGGGCTGGGGGGACCAGGCCGTGGCGGAAGGGCGAGAGGGAGCGAGGAGCGAGTGCAAGGGCGGCTGGGTGGCGGGCGGGCGGAAACACTGGGGTGGCGAGGCAGGGAAGAAGTTTGCAGAGGAGAGGAGGACGCTTCCTCCTCCGAGCCCAACTCACCAAAAAGGCTGCCGCTAAACCCGTCCCACACGCAGCCCACGGTGTCCCACACCCAGCCGTTCCTCAGGCAGGACACGAAGGTAAAGGTGACCCCGAAGAGGGACACCAGCAGGTCGCTGAGGCTGATGTTGACCAGGAAGAGGTGAGTGGGAGTGCGGAGCCGAGGGAACTTGTAGTAGAGCACCAGCACCAGCAGGTTGTTGGCGACGCCCAGCAGACCGATAGAGCCCAGCAGCAGCGCCAGGCGCTCGTAGGCGCTCGGGCTGAAGAGCGGCGCCGGGCTCAGCGTCCCCTCCGGGGTCGGCTCCTCAGCGCCCGCGGCCCCGCCGCCCTCCCAGAAGCCCTGGCCGCCGCTGCGGTTCCCCGAGTACATGGCCCGGCGCCGGCGCGCTCGGCGGGAGGAGGCGCTCAGCGTGCGGCGCGGCTCGCGGCGCGCTCGGCACTGGGTGGGGCTGCGCCCCCGCCGCCGGCTCTAGCCATTGTGAGCGCCGCGCCCGCACAGCCAGCATCGCCAGCGCCTCCGCCCGCCCCTTCCGCCGCCCCTTCCGCCCGCCGCGCCTCGGTGCCCCGCCCCTCCCCGCCGGCGCAGCCTCGCCTCGGCCCCGCCCCAGCGCGCCCCCGAGGAGGGGAGGAGCTTCGGGGCGCGCTCTCGTGCCCTCGCTCCCCTCGCACTCTAGTTGAAGACCCCTCTGCAGGCAAGCGTGGGCGCGCGCCCGCAGAGGCAACAACCAGAAAGGCGCCTAGGCCCCCATTTCCTCTCTCCCTGCTGAAAGCAGTGTACATTCACCCATTCCCTCGCTCACTCCTGCCTTCATTCATTCATAAATATTTCTGAGCGTCTGTGTCTAAGACAGGCTGACAAGAGGGTGGGATGGATGAAGGACTCTACCCTAGATTTCTCCCCTTCCCAGGAAGCTGTCATAACCCATTACCAGCCTACTAGGCCCACTCTGCCTCATTTTTTCTTTTTCTTTTCTTTCTTTCTTTTCTTTTCTTTTTTTTTTTTTTTTGAGGCAAAGACCTACTCTACCTACCAGAGAAGAAAGCCCTGGTGTCATAGCTTACAGCAACCTCAAACTCTTGTGCTCAAGCAGTCCTCTTGCCTCAGCCTCCCGAGTAGCTGGGACTATAAGCCCCTGCAACAGCACCAGGCTATTTCTAGTAGAACCAGAGTCTCGCTCTTGCTCAGGAGGGTCTCACTCCTGAGATCCAGCAATCCACTCGTCTTGAGCCTCCCAGGGTGCTAGGATTACAGGCGTGAGTCACCGTGCCTGGCCCCCATCCTGCCTCATACACTTAATATAAACAATAGAAAACAAAACACTAAAAAGCTTGGTGTAGTCTTACAAGCAGAAATGTAGTCTTGCAAGCAGAAAAATTGAGGAAGAAATAAGCTAAACTGATAGGTGTCTACCTAACTACCCCAGGGCTAGAGAACACGGCCAAGGGCTTGTAAAAGAGTCTGCCAACCTCAGAGAGTGTAGGATAAGAAGGAAATGAGGTTCTAGTGGCCTAAGGTTAAGCCCCAGGTTGGACCCCAAGGCTTGCCAACATCATCCCTCCTGTTCTGCTCCCAAGTATTGGAAGATCTATCCTGTTAACTGGGGCCTGCTAGAATCCTTCACTGGGAGTGACTGCCTGAGTTGTGCCCGCAAAGCTTCAACCTAAATCTAGCAGGTATAGAAAAGGTAAGTGTTATATTTAGAACAGCACACATTTTCCACTGGGCCTTTTCTCCAGTAGCGAAGAAAATATAGTACAAGTCAAATATAGGTTGTGGACGTCATCACGCTCTGCAAGGGCAGCTTCTGCCTGTGTCACTGCACGGGAACAAGGCCCTGCAGGCCTGAGCCACACCTGCAGGCTGTCCTGGGCACAGGGTTCTGGGAAGCTGAAGTGATTGCTCTCCATGAAGGTGTTTGCCCCTCACACCTCTGTTCAAAAGAGCAGCAAGGAATGACCAGCGTCAGTCTCCATTCCAAATTCCCTGCAGATAGAAGCTAATCAACTGGGCCACCTTAGTGCATTGACTAATAGTTGAGAGGCAGAGTGTTCTGCCAAAGCTTGATTTTCCTTTAAGGCTTCTGATCTGGACTTGCTACTTTTGAGACTACCTAGTCCACCCACCTCTTTTTAAACATTTTAAATTTTTCT